CTGAATATTGGAATAACTGAAGACAACTGTTAGGTTTCGGATCAATGTGTATATCTGAACAACTTTACATCACTGAAAGTGGTTTTGAGGTTCGTTACATTAACATTGAACGGGCAAAAAAGCCATAATGCTTCTCTTACGAGTGATATTACTGAACACGTGGTTATGTGCAGTTCAATGTCAGAACTCGTACAAAGTTGGTGATATTCACCTGAACACCATATACAGGCATTGACCAAATTCGTGACACACCAAGCTGACTTTCATCACATTTGACACTCCCAACGCCTGGCTTCTCGAGCCTCATACACGGGATAGCATATGATCTTGCCCATATCAGACGCAACATATGTGCACTAATACCCACTTGTGTCTTTGCTTTTGTTAGGAGAATGACAATAAAATGTATGTCGGCTTTTGTCGCATTTGTTGTTGAGTACATCATAGAAATTATTTATGAAAATGACTCATAGACATGATGCATTTGTTTTACATTCATTTTTTCAATGTTCTACTCGCTTCTCTTTATGTTTGAGCACTGGAGCCGGATGTTATATTTTGTGTGGAGTCCGCAAGCTGACTGTCAAACAGCGTTTGCCAGTTTCTTCTCATACATTCCACACCCTGGACACTGGAGACCACTTTCGAGGTAGCCAACCTATCCCTGTTTCCAACAAAAGAAAACTTTTCCAATTACTATCAGATTCTCAACATTGGTTGGTAATAAAATTAACTCCATATTGGACGTGACCTGTCCAGAAATATGAAAAATACTATGTAATGAAGTATCAACTTTTTCTACGATCAACCTCCAGTGACATGTGATATGAACATTTAGCTGGGAAATATGAATTTTTGGAATGCATTTTGAGAATGACAGTTATCGTGACACCATAAAATGCATATTCAACGAGCCGCACACCTCACGGTTACCTGTTGAGGGTTTATTTATTTAATTAAAACTATCCTTAGTTCTTTCAAGGACACAAATTTTACGTGAGCAGGATACATCCACACAATTTATCGATTTCTTCAAGCCATCCGATTTTCGCTAACTAGCTTATTAACTTTGAACTGAATGGAAAGTATAAGCTGTTTAGGATAAGTTCATCAACCAGAATAAAGATGCTCATGAAATAGCAAGTATTTATTAGAAAGAATGAACTTCCACAGTGCTTCGGATAAAATAGTTTTTAATTCTGAGCTATTACTTTCGGATCATTGGAAATTTCATCGTGACAACCAAGTTCATGCAAATATAAACGGTGATACAAGAGCACCAAGAATATCACAGTAAGAGACAAAGACTGGAATAAATGCTATTTCTCTGTACCTATCGATATACACGTATGATACTGGTAAGTCCAATTTATTTCCAAAATGAAAGTTATGTTGCGCGATTTTGATCAATACACTGGCACACCAATTGGAAACGGATTTAATCAGTAGCTACGTTTTGAGCTTAAGCAGTTCGTTGGTTTTGGGGGAAGTTAAACAAGTGAACTTTGAAATGGATTCCCTGCTCCTATTGCTGAGACATTCAAAACCATGAAGCAGTAAATGCCAACTTATAGCCTAATCCAATTTAAATGTAACTTTATTAAGTTTTCTCTTTTCCAAGTAAACTGGGCCTGCTAATCCAATAGGCCTCTCGCCACTGGGGTACTTTGAAAGCAATCGGAACCTTTTACATGCACAATGAAAACACATATCAGCGTTGTATATTCAACAATCCGGGATCAAGGGTTAGCATTCTACCATACCCATCACCTATCCCATTTTACCACTGAAAGCTTGTCACGTGGAAAGATCAACACGTTATATTGATTGAACATTATTATATTATGATAAATTGCTTGATTCTCAAGTTGATGGCATTTTTTATGGAGAATATATCTGTTAAATATGAATTAACGTAGTTGGTCTGGCAGATATTCTATGGTAATGAACTATAGTTCATTACCATAGTCGATTTGTCATAGACACCAGCTGGAGATGTTTTAGTGCTAAGTTACACATTGGATTCGTGCGATCATTTCATTTAATCGGGAATTTGAACACGCGTTTGAGACATTGTTCTATATTATTTATTTTCTTTAGGAAACGCTTTCAGCTGTGGTGATCCTCCCGCAATGTGTCTTACTAATGATCACATTAATGGAGTCATTTGACAGATTTTGTTACCAGTCAGATGACTGCTGTGCTTTGCTTAAAACATGTATAGAATCCCTTGGTGGAATTTATTTGTTGGGCATAGGTTTGCGCTCAGTGAGTCTGTTGAGTCTGTTGAAGGTTTAGCGTCGCAGTCAGAAAACTGCTGTTTTCATTTTTTAAATTTACATTTCAATTTCCACAGTATCAGACAAATTGTATCGTACGATCCAAGTCGTTTGTCCACTACCGCCTTGCAAAAGATATTACCATCCGCAATGTTTTCAGTTGAGTCATAACTGCGGGGGAATTGTGCTTAAGCGAATCAGGTTGGTAGTTTATGATAATCTTTCAAAGACAAGTTGTGTTGCTTCTAAAAGGGCCTAAGTAACACACTATGATCAACTGCTCGCTATTCTGTGCCCAAGTCATTCATGTAAAATCGTTTCTCGGTTGGATCTATGAATTCACATAGATGATAAGATCCAAATGTTTGAGGAATTCCAGTTTTTTCCTTTCGGGTGCATATGTAGAAGTTTGTCATTTCACCGCCCTGCGTCACGCGGTTCATTTATTTGCACAACTATGACAAATATGCATAACCAGTCCTGGTTCGTACATATACAAGTTCTGTCAATTAAACTAACTTCTTTTGATTAATTCAAATGCTTTGCTTTGTTCAAGTTTGTTCCGTGCCAAGAACTGCATGCTGAAAGTTTTATCTTTGGATTCGCCCATTCGACCTTTTCGCAGGTTCTTGGTACAAGTGGTGGTCTTGAATGTGTGTTTCACTCCTTGGGAGATCGTCCATTCCCCAAAGGTTAAATGCATTCAAACCTGATGTAAATAATTAAGATGACCAACAAGGCGCACTGGACAGCTGTTTAGTCCTACGTGGTAAATCGTCAGCAACGCGTATTTTTCGTGTCCCTGTCAAAACTCGAACCATAACCCTTCAGGTTGGGTCAACTTTGATCTTTCAAAGAGTCGAACAAACAGCAAAGACGACCAACAGTGCTTGGTGCCTGCGAACAACCAAAGGAGCTGATCCGAACATGATACTTGATACTTGCTTGAACTATCCGCGCAAAGCATTGTACGTCGAGTGTGAAGGTTGGTGGCAATGGTTTCTGTCAGGAATACAAAACGTACACACTACTAACCAGTCACGAGCAAGACGAAACAGCTAATCAGTGATCTTTGTCGGTCATCACAAATACTTCCATTTCCATAATGACTTGTAGAAATTACTTAAAATTACCCTTGTGAAAGAAAACCGTTGGTTGGTAACTATTTAGTTTCCAAATAGTTCGCAAATTGTTTAACAACCTAAACCCCTCTCCGTCCTAACTAGATTCTGCGATACTTTGGGGTTCGCTTGATGTTTTCAAAATTGACAACGACCATAGTTCCATCTTTTCATGTGACATTATTCGAGGAGTCATTTTTTGTTCAATTCGCTCCTCGAACCTTTCTTTTCTCATGATGGGTGAAATATCTCAGTTGCTCGTATCATCTGTTGTGTTCTGCTTAGACTTACAAATGACACGAGCGATTCTTGTTTAATCCCCAACAATAAAGCGGGGAGAGAACATAGCTGGAAACAAAGTCAGTGTGTATTTTTCGATTAGGTATCGATACGCAAATATATAGGACAACTCGCGCATACGAGAGGTGTGCTAAATCGGACAGGTTGCTCTTTCCTGTTTAGTTACTATATTTTATTTGCATAAAACCAACAAAAGAAGATAATGGCATTTGTTCTTTCTCAGCTGCAAGCTAAAGAAGGATAACTCATTTCAATTTTAATTACCGATTTGATGAAAGTAATTGGGGAAAAATGAATAAACCTTTTATTCTGACATATCGTGATTTACCCATCACATGGATTACCGACTTGGACGTTTTCGACAGGAAGCAAACCAGTAAAGATCGGTTATTGTTCGTTATTGTTTGTCCCTTGATCTACTCGTTTGCAAAGCCCTTATCCCATTTTGGTCAGTTCTTGACAGACAGATGCAGGGCTCATTTTTTAGGCAAGCGGAACAATCATAAGCGCCCGTTTATTTAATGGAATAACCTTTAACATCTACTTTGAGTTTTCTCAGAGGCATTTGTAAATTCCTTTGATTTGAACGAATTCAAAATTTTCTTGCGATACTCCGTCAGAAGGACAAGAGTTACGTCTGGTAAGAAAACATTCGTTTACGCCGTCAGTTCGACTTCCCTTGCACAGTTATTTCATTAACACAGAACTATCATAAAATGAGTCAAGAATAAATAAGATTCTCATGTGAACAGTTCATAAATTTTAATATCAAACATACCTTTGTTTATACTCACTTAGATTTGACATGTAGTACTGCATGCATGCTACAGTCTTGCTTTTCAGCTACAATTTAGTCGACATAGAACGAATTTGGAGATGGACTCATACATGCCAGCTGCCCGCTGCTTCGCGTAACCCCCTGTTCGACTAGGTTGTTTAACGGCTAATGTTTTAAGAGGTAGCGTTTCCAGTGCTAGCTGTCGAAAAGTTTTATGACGTAGACTTTGTTGACACGAAAGCCTTTTACTTGAAATAAACTACTCGGTCGAAATTTATAAAACAACTGTTGTTTTAATGGCGCGCTAACTTACGTGACTTCTGATCAATATAATTTTGCAGTGATTTCTTTAAAGCAGGTAAAATATTACACCTATACATGCCTTCAGAATGAGGCCTTTTTCAATTCAATAGCAAACCATGTTTATCCCAGATAATATTTGATGAATGTTTCAGATCCGGTAAACATCGTGTTAGTTAACAGTCACAGTTTCATCTTCTGTCTTTTCCGTTAACCAGGAATTTAGTGGATCCGAATTTGCCCCTCTTCATCACCTGGGTTTGACGAAGTGACACCAATTTTTGTATCAGTCTCCTCCTCGGTACTCGTGGTAGTGGTGGTAGTTGACGTGGTAATTGTCACTGAGTTCACCACTGTGGCCAGACCGGCTATGATACTGCCAAATAACCATTCACAATCTTCCGGAACGTAAACTCTTTGAGACTGGGAAGACACGTTCTTTCTGGTGGCGTAAGAGACGGTTGATAAGAAACCTGTGAAGATACCAACATAGGAAAGTATCAGCTGAGGTTCATGGTTGATACCGTCCCAAACAAAATGACCCCACCCCCTTGGACCACTTCCACTCGCATAACTGGATACACTTCAGAGTTCAATCCAAGGAGGGGGCTAACGTAAGCTGTGAGAAAAAGTGTTGGACTACTACTAGCCAAATTCACATCAATATCACCTGGTACAAAATATGAACGGATGAGAAACGTGAGTTAGTGTAACTAAAAACTGGAAACAGCAGTTCTTCAAACAGCTTTGCAGAAAATGCAATCCATAGACCACAGCTGACTGGGAGAACATGATTGAAGGGTAAGTCGAATTTGATGTGTGCTATCGTGTTGAAAGATAAGGGCATTGTAGTTGAGGCAGTGGGTTTATGGCAAAGTGAGAATATTTCAACAAAGTTTTTATCTGAAACCCGACATCCTATTGATTTACGTGGAGAAAGTTGGTCTATATTTCTGAATCAAAATAAATTTATATTTGGTTATTTACCTTTCAGTATTCAAACGCTGATCTCCTTTCGTGAATAACTTTATCGGTCAAAACGCTTCTCAGAAAACCGAACAAAACCGGAATCTAGAATTCCGTGCGAACAACAAAAATCCGTCTTAATTCTTAGAGTCATTGGGTGGATGGATGGCCAGAAGCCCTACATACATATAACCAGCTATAACAATGAATATTGCTAATCATTTTACAATTTGCGCTTTGAGGAAAATAGCGGGGCCTTCAAATTTCGGTCGTGCTGCATTTGTGTTCCAGTGAATAAATTATCGCATTTTACGTCACACATTGGATTTAATTGTGTTTGATTCTGACTGACTCTGAAAATATTTAGCCTCATATGGGCTTTTTCACCCTCTCGGTTCTGTAGTTCATTGGGAGTAATGACCAACTTATCCTTAAAGGATATCATGGTCTAATGGGATAGATATTTCCTCACTCACAGATTCTCGACTATGCACACATCAAAACGAACGCCACTGCGGTGATATGGGAGATTAACATACCCTGAGCTGCACCTGTTTACTTACGTTCAGAAGAGTGGACTGCCTCCATAGAATGCCACTATTTAAGGAATCCAATTGATGTAATCGATATTTAATTTCTAATAACAAGGAGAGGTATCAGAAGTGTTTTCTTTGACCATAACAAGGATTCCTGATGCAATACAGTAAATTCCTCATGCGAGACAGCTATCTAGACCGTAACCACAAGAGAGCGATAATGTCTACGTAATAATGCCTCATATTTTTAAATATAATAAAGACATGTAAAAACATCTCAAGTATTGCAGCCTGAACAAATGACAGAAATTTGCTTCATTCAGTGACGCTCAACGTAGTTACGTGAATGAACTTCCTCAACATTATTTTGTAGGGCACGAAATTATGATTCAGGCCTCATTATGAACAAGACCAACACGATTACCGGTTTGACTGAAAGCTTACGAGTACTAAAGATTCACTGTTGACCTGTTGGTTTAACACGTTACACTTCTGCTTTTCCGCCACTGACCACAAAGAGGCTTCCCATCTGGCCGATCTTGATATCCCCATAGTACTGGGCGGATTTTGACAATCATTCTCTTCCGTCCATTCATCAACAAGTCATCTAGCTCCGTTTGATCACCCTCTTATACCTTTTCCACATTTTTATCATACAGTTTACCGAATTGGTCCATCCTTCAATTTTGTTTCTCTTGACAGCCGGTCGTAACTGAACTGCTATTGTATAAGCTTACACAATTTATAAAAATTTACTCTTAGAATTGTCACGTCACTCTTATCAGGTGTTTGTCAGATCATCATATTATCCAGTAATAGTGTAATACCGCTATGTTTGCCAAGCATGAGTTATTCCAAAGTTCCAAAAGCTAAACAAAGACACAATAACTCTTTATAGTTATTGAACTATCATTCCAGTCTCACTGAGGCTATTCAAAATGGAAAATCATTCGCAAATGACTCCTCAACTTACTTGCAAATGTTCCAATCATTGACATTAGGATACCCAAATCAGAATCCTCCCAATCAAGCATCATGCCAACAATGACGAGTACGACTGCGGCCAGATAAATGAAAAATTGTAACAACATAACTATCATTGATCCGCGCACCACAAACGATGTTTGTCTTCCCGAGAAACGGGCAGCTGCCCCAACTGAAACAGTTAAATCGGAACTTCATAAATTCCCTATTGTGAAAAGGGAGAGAGCGTGCAGTTTGAAATAAACAATGAACGGAAACTTACACGCGAATTCATCACTGCGTTGCCAAAGTGGGGCCAAAGTGCACGTGATCCCGATGATGCCCATCATCAGACACGTGATTTTACTTCTTGAACTTTGCATCCTCTGACTGGTCACAGTGAAACTAAGTGTGAGACAGAGAGAGACCGGAATTGTTGATCAGACCGTGGTATTAGTGTTATAAATTGACCACTCAATTCGTGGGTGACACTAACTCTTGGGTAACGGTGCTGTTCCCAGGTGTGTTGGCCAATCAGGGATCACTGGGAATGTGTTTTGGAATCACTTCGCAATACCTTTAACCACGTACGTTTAGCGCTCAATAATTACCACCGGTTGAATGTTTTCTGCTATATTACTGTAGGAAATTGATAAATATACAAAGTATATGAATAATTTGAACAAATTTACTAGCAGATGTTTTAGAAACTAAATTAAAAAACTTTATTGACTGAGAAATATCGCTGCATCAAAAAAACGGGAAGGCTGAGAGCTGAACTTCTGTGTGGCATTCGCTTCGACCTTGGATATATTCGATGAACTCCCCAGCGTGAACCAAAGACAACCGTAAACCCTATCGGGGAAGTAACTGTGCTACTCACTAGTGAAAGCAGTCTATTGGTCTAGGTTGTCAGCCTGTTATTTGGCAGATAGTGTGTTTGTACCTCACCACCACTACCACACCTCCCAATTCGTCTACATGCTTCTATCGGTCGCTACCTCGCCATGAAATAACGATTTTGCATTGATTGTTGTACACCAAATTGATTTGAACGAACAAATGCATAATGCTATTACCTGATCTACGCTTTCTGTTAAAATCATCTAACATTATATATGGGATAACCGGAATTCACTCAGCTAGATGGATATTTACTTGGCAGTTATATTCCTCGTGCGATTTCTTCAAATTGACATTTGACATATTCTTTAAAACGATGGGACAAAGAGAAGAAAATTAAACAAACTATACTTTACCACATTCAGTGACGTACAATAATGTGAAGAAGTTTGGAAGTAAGCCTCAACAACTGTATAAAGAAATCAACGAAGGAGTCTTTCGCGGTTTTATTCAGCTGACATTTTTGACTGAAACATCAATTTTTGCTTATGCCAATAACCAATTAGTTTTGATGCTCTATTATTGTAATATTTTATTTAATTCAAATTAGAAAATTTCCGCAATCTAACAGTCGTAACGTAGACCAATTATTCAGTAAACCGTTAAGGTTCTATTTATGCTTTCTCAAGCATCGAATTTTCTTGTTCTTTGTTTGGGTTAAATTTCTTTCCGTTGTTTGCAAATGTACATAAATTACAACAATGTCATTTAACTCTGTTTTCCGAACTGTGAAATTCGTTTGCAGAAATTCCATTCCTACTCAGGACAGAATTTGTCTAACTTGTAGGATATTTTGTCATCATTTGATCTATTTATTTTACTGTTTTCATTTCATTTTGAGAATAAACTGTCCCACGGGTTTTCTACTATGCCTGGACGGGTCTACCTCTGTATAGTCGACGTAATAGGCACAAATTGGGAATCTAAATCAGAATTGCAATCTAAGCCCGAACTCAAACTGACAATCGTATGTCGACATATGTCATCATCGAGAAGGTCACGGTGATGAACCATTTCGACTGAACTGATCAGAAAGGAAGACTCTTGCACCCACGTAGAGTGACCAGTTTCGCCGAAGTGGATGGCGGTCGTGCAATTTACCTTCCAGATCGGTGACCAACTGAACTACAACGAGCAGCATTCTGTCATTTGACTGGATAAGCGTGATCGTTTCCTGAATGAGGCGTAAACTGGTGAACATGGGAAATTACATACATCTAAAGTGAGAGGACCGGTTTCACTGAGAGAGAAAACGCGTTCTTTCCCAATACGATTTTGCCTAACGTTTCGATGTAGTTTACTCAGTGACTTAGTTCACATATTACCTTTAAAATGCAATGTGGTGTACATTGTGTCAATCAGGTTTGTTTTTGCTAATTTGAATTCATGCCAGCACACCAGGATGTACATCACTAGTTGAAGAGCTACGTGTTCTGAGTGAGTAAAAAGTCGCCTTATTTATATTAGTGGGGTGGATTTCATCTTGAGACCATATCGGAGATTTGGAATAATCATTATGTATTTATTTTGAATTTCTTCGAGTAAGTAACGCGAACCAAAGAGCCAGGAAGTACTTACTGTTCACCTGTTTCGACCCGGTTGTTTCTGTGCACCAATTCAAACCCTTTAACACAGCAGTGAATCGTTCTCGATAACCTACAGAGCTACCAGTCTAACTATTTTTCATTTTTTTACATGATTTATCAAAACCGATCCGTGTTAAGACAATGGATTGTCACTGTTTATAAGGCATAATCAGGTCGAAAGAAACGTCACTTCTGAGCTCTCCGGTTTACCTTTTGTTTGTTCTGTGCACGATGAAATTCTTCACATTCTGGAATGACATCCTCCACCCCTCTCGTAACCACACAGTTATTTGTTCATTCATCTGATCCTCAAAGCTTGTCGGGGTATGATTCGTGTGTTTGCAGGTGGTATAGTTAAGGAAGTCTGAGCGCCTACACAAAATACTTTTAGGCTCACAGTGCCGATTGTGTAGACGAATTCCAAACGGTTCTGCAGTGGGTGGCATCGGGTAGCAAACCTTCTTTGATAGGTAGTGAAGAGGATGGAATGTCTCCGTCACATCAAATCAAAGTGCAGTTTGGTTCAGCGATTTTTGTAAAACCACTGCACCTGTAAGTGAACTTATCTATTTTGTGTTTAGCCACACTTACTAGCGTGGACAATCGGACAGTCAACTGACCGTACCTTCTCTGTGCTCGGTAACACCGGAAGGAGTAAATGATTATGCACAGAATGAGCTCTCAGACGTGTGAAGTGTGCCGTTTCATGAAAAACATAGAATTGGCTTAGACGTAAACCACACATGAGGGTTTGATGGATCACTGAATATAGGTTCCATTCTTTTTGAGTAGTCGGTGCGATCTGATATCATTCTCTCCTAAGCGGAATAGGAAAGTACAATCTCCTTGTTGTTGTTCTCAAGTTCACTTACTCATTTCGGAATTTGTGCAGTTGATACTTCACTTGTATTTAACTTCATACCAGTAACAAGCTTTCACGGAGATCGAACCGAATCTTTCCAACTTCCTTGACGCAGAAGGGACGAAGTCAAAAGCTGTGTAAGTATATTCAAATTTCCAATCCAGCTGTTTAGATCTACGATTAGGACAAAAACATTTTCGTCCCATAGCACGTCTTCGAAAGTTAAGATACAATATTGTGAACGTGCTGTTTTGGGTTGACAAAGCATTTATTCATTGGCTTGGACCCATGAAGTTGGAGACGTAAATTGGTTTGTATTCGCTCCGAATGTCTAGACATGATAGACTGGGAGTCATCCTCAAAATAGTATCTTCCGACCGGCGAAACGTTATTCAGTACTTCAGGATGTCACACAATTTCGCTTTAGATCCACAAGGTGATGAAGCAAGGTATATCATGCTCATTAAGAATTGTCTCAGTTAATATGGGTTTTCCTCCAAATTGTCCAATAATGCTACGGAAACTTCTTTTTTGTAACGCAATCCTTAATGAGGAGAATCAGAGCAATAGACAGCGTCAGTTTCGCAAAGAATTTTATACTGATAAAGCCCGCGACATCTAGTGATCTTATCGCTTTATTTCTTTTCTGCACAGTCCTACAGGGAACCTTTCAAACAAAACATGACCTGGTAAACACAGCTCCTTGTTGGTGATTTTTAATTATAATAACACATTACGATGTTTACACTTATTTAAGGTGAAAGTTAATCAGAGGAATGAAAAATCTACGTTATGGACTACTACTACTTATTTCATCTTGGGACCGGAAATCAAATCCACAATGACCGCACAGTTGATTCTTGACTCATCAGGTAGGTCAGGTTACTTTGGATGCACGGTATATAATGGTGCATGTGGGGTGAACCAGGAGAGCTTAATCATCAGCACTACTCAAACAGTAAATTCATTTTTTTCTTTTACTCCGTTTACTCTCAAGCATCAACAGATATGGCCTCGTGTATGTTCATTTTTCGATAACTTTGACCCGATAGATGTCAATCTATAGAGCTGAGTCTCTTTTCGTGGTTGGCGATGCACCAAATTAAGCATCTTCCGTAATGTATCCGAATAGTTGGTTTTTGACATGAAATAAAATATTCTTAACTGCTGTGAGTGTGCATTTGCTGAATAATAGGTTCCGAATTACAAAATGAATACAGTTGGGAACCCTTCGTTGCAGTGGTATTCAGTGGCAGGGAGACAGTATACTCCCTGAAAAGTGCTTTTTTCTGGGACAACCAATCAGATAATGAAGAGCTAAACTCGGGTGATTGGTCGGTACCGTAGAACAATCAAAGCGGTCGGCAACTATCCAGTCAACCCAGCAATTGATATATGCGTTACTTTGTCATTTCTCTTCTCTATATATAACCATGACCTTTACATTATAAACGAATTCCCATTTGCTTCCAGTTGTGTTGTATTTCAATACCCATAGAGTTCTTATTTCCACAAAAAGCATTATCGGAAGGCAATCCTTTGAGAATCCAGTATCGAGAAAATCCTGTGCGGTCAGAACAAATTGGCCGCATGATTAATTTCTTTCGAATCCAAATATGGCGATTTCAACAAGCAATCTGCAGGCAAAACACCCAGGCACAGTTTGAGGCGGCCCATTTGAAGCTGACAGTCCAAGTAGCAGGCGTCTAATCCGGTTGGTATTTCCCCTCAATTCAGTTATGCTGACTTGTTTGTGGTCGAGATGATCGAATTCCATTACGGCCCAGAGGCCGGAGTCACCTTTGAATAGTTGTTCACACGATGAGAGGATATATCCCGGATGGAATTGATCGCACTGGATGATGCATCGAAGGTACAAATACGAAAGTGGGTAACATGGAGCACTAGNATCGTGCAGACAGTATTCAACCCAATAGCACGTGATGTTTCTCATCTGGTGACACAGTTCGTTTACCCAGAGACTCTTTTGGCCTGAAATTATCTTTGATGTCAGTGCATGATAGTAATATTTTTATCACGTATTCCAGCATGGTGAATCGGAAGTGCCGACCCTTCAGCTTGTGGGCGATGACAGAAGAGCAGTTCAAGTGTCTCGTTTTCAGCTGCGGACTCCAATCACCTCAGGATGCGGAGATTAGAATGCGNGCGCCTACTGAACATGATTGAACGGGATTCCAATGTCACATAACGGATATTAGCGTCCGGTTGTCAGAGGATAAAAAATTTGAAGCATGATTCAGCTGTTTTGGAAAGTGCCAGAACCACACACATCAGGGAGACACCAAGTTAAAGCTCGGCGACAGGCACAGATAACCAACTTCAAACAAACCTCCAATCGCATGCGGGCAATACGGTGAGTGGTACTTTGCTCAAGTGTCTCCGCTTAAGAAGCATATCTTTCGGAAATGTCACAAACGAGATCACGAGATATACCATTGTCGGTCCAATCAGAATTCCGGAGAAAAAGTGATAAACAAACCGGAAAAATTCAGGGTACCCCAACAAGTGTCTGGATCAAAATATCATTCCAATTGGAACTTCGTTCAATGTATCTACAAAACCACAGACTCAGTAGGAGTAAATTAGGATACGCATGTTGAGCGGTGACAGTATATTTGTATTCCGTTGAAATTAGTGAAGAATGACGAATAAAAGTACCAAATGGAATTGCGGTAACGAACTGGGACATTCTGAAAGTGGACTGGAGGGATGTTATAAAGGACGAGTATATGAAACTTTAAATTGATAAGTAGGATACAACATATTTTGAACACCATGAGATTCAGTGTGTGACAGCCTCTCCATCCCAGAGAACGTGAGATGCAATGTTGACGCCATAGCTTCATCCGTGCCATTCCAGTTGTCTGGACTAGTTTCAAGCGATTACAACAAAAAATGGATGAAGACAGATTCCTGCTAGTTTTGTAGAGTTGTCTCCCATTCAAATGGTATAAAATACGTATCTTGCCTGAATAACTCAATTGCAGATCGGCTGTAAGTCTTGATAAGGCTATTACTGTTATTATTACTTGTTACTGTACAACACCAGGATATATGCATATTCCAAGTTGACGATCTTTTCCCCTGAAGAGAGAGCCTTCCGATTCTTACTGGTCTCCCGAGCTCGTGGATTGTACACCGGTGCCCTGCTAAAATAAATGGCTTGTACAAATTCGCCGTATCAGCTGTAAGTTCTAACTCTGATGGTTACCGAGTCCAGTAAAAATCAGACCGAGGAATGAAATCGATCCGAAGAACCAGACACTTAGAGACTTGGCGTTTGCTCAAGCAGAACGATTGAGAATCAACACTACGCGTCTTAAGGCCATAGCATACTGCACACAGCAGAAGCGCCATTGGCACACGACTGTACAGTAGGTAAAGACAGAAAAAATCTGAAAACGTCCCATCTAGTGACCAAAATGTCTGGTGTTAATTACCCAGGCAGGTCAAGAAATCGCTCAGCGAGGAAATTATCCGTTTCAGAACAGGGATAGAAGCAGAAAACGAATCTTGATCAAACTCATAATCACACATTTTTTGCCTTGTTCATGTTTTATTTTCATTACTCATTCTCAAGCTTCTACATCAATATGTGGTCACAAGGTGGCAACAAAAGTCATGATTTACAGAATAAACCGGGGGGAGAGGGGGGGTTACAGGGTTGTAATCACTTGTCTAAGCAGATTACTTAACACGGCCATTCAGTCATCGTTTGATTTTCTGAACAAAGGTCACTTACGTCATACTGTGTGGCCATAGCATACTCAATATGTACGCAAGTATCAGGTGAGTTCGCACCTTGTTGAGCCAATCAGAATCCGTCTCAGACTTATGCACCCTATGATGTTTGCTAACAGCGTTAATAATCCCCAAGAACCGCATGAAATTTATTTTAATTTAACAGTCCATTCTCACTTCACATTGCCCTAATATAAGCTAATTCCAGTGCGTCCATACGATCACTTTCCGTTCTGCAGTTTTGTGTGAAAAACTGTGAGACAAAGATAAGGTCGCTTATCACAACGGAGAACAAGAAACAATAACAACTTTGTGGTTAGTGATCTTGTCTTCCTCTCACAGTTATTATCATAGTTTCTTATGAGGAACAGATCAAAGATACGGATTGCGACCCTTTGTTGCTCCTGCTACGGCTTCTGATCACTTAATTCAGATAATGTAAAACCCGACCTATATATTTCAACCACCAAGACTTGAGCAGCCGTTTGTGTTGTTGAAACTCTACTGATTATGTTTAAGTTTACACTAAAACACCACGTGTGTGAAGCACAGGTAATCGGTCAATAATATGATGATAAATAACCGAGGGCGTTTCTGTCTCTATTTTTAGGTTATTTTAATTAGATTTAGTCTGCCAAGCGCACACGTCGAACAACACAGGTTTCACGTGAATCAGTCAGTTGTTCGAACCAGTCGTTTTCTCGATTTCACCACATGGTTTGAAGTTGGGGACTTGACTGCTACCATCAGAGTTGAATTAAAATCAAACAGGCGTTTTACTCGGTTTGACGCAATCCTTAACCTATACTGATGCAAACCGTGATCCGTTCCTCATGTTTGTGAAATTGTTTCCCCATGTATTATCACACAGTTTTAGAAGGTACAACAACCAGAAACATTTTGTGGGACGCCGGGGGGAAGACAAAGCTTCTGGCCGGTATTTCCATGATGGCCTTGAGCGGCACTGTCTTTGTAATTCTGACCACAAAAAATCGGGCACAACCTGGCCACAAAAAGGTATGATAGAAGTTGGTTTCGATTACAAAACAGAACTAATCGTTGATATGGAAAAGAAGACATAAACTGAGGTTTGGGAAAGACAATCACTTTATTGGCAAAATTTCAATATTTATATTAAATATGGATTAAACGCTGAATACATAGGCGTAACATACGAGAGCGTAGCAAAATGTTTCCGGACGCATAAAAGGTTTTGTTTGTTATAAAAAAATAAACATTACGTTTTCTCGAAGAATCCTCCACATGCATATTCCTGAGTTCAAAGTTTTCAGTTCAAACTTTATTCCGGGCGATTTAACAAAGTTAACACTGGTGCCTCAGGATTTTTACAGAATCTTTTGGACAACTTTACAAACAGAACATAATATTGATATGAATGAACACTCACGGATGTCGAAATGTTATGTGTTCCAATGTTTAATCAAGTTGAGATTGGAATAATTCAACTGTAGAAGCACACACAACATAGGATGGAAGAGAATTTCATACGCCGTATACTCTGACTGCAACCGAGTGACGCCCACAAACTAGATGGCTTTTCTGGGTTCTCAACTTCAAAAAATGTCCCGTGAGATCATTACAATGAGATGAATTCAACACAGAATGGCAAAAGTGGTTGGGTGGATGCAGTATCTATTATATCAAAATTAGGTCCCCCGAAGTCCATGGTACAGCGATGAGTTTGTAGTCTTTGTAGTCGTGTTATACAGATATTTTACCATTTTTGCTACCAACCTCTGAAGACATTCTAAAGCCTTCTTATCGTGATTTAACTATGGATTTTATACTTGAAAGGCGTATTCTGTATGTGGCCGAAAGAACGCTGATAGCAGGCTTGACAACAGTGCTTTTTCGAACTGCCCGAAAGCACGTTTAATTAGTCCGACTTGCTTTAGAGCAATAGTTGATGCTCTGGCACAGTGCGGGGAAAAACATACGTCCTCCTGTAACATAACTTCCAAATCCCTTTCATCAGTAGCGTGCAGTAGTATTTGGTTTCCCAAAACATATGAGAAACGAGTTTTATGCCGCATAGGAACAACTTTACATTTTGCAACGGTAAATTCGATGTCGTTGGCGGTTGACCATCGGTGGGGGGGCAGCATTGATAGTTTGTTGGAGTGTCATATAATCCTCTGATTGTGTTGCTATTCTCCAGACTTTTAGCGTCATTGGCAAGTAGTAGTGAATTTGACCCAAGAACACGCGGTAGATCGTTTACAAATTCCAGATAAAGACAAAGCCCCAGCACGGTTCCTGGCGGAATTCCCCGGACAGCGGGAACAGTTTCACATAATGCATCACAAACACGAACTGACATGGTAGTTTGTTGGAGAAACTCCTTATATCAGTCGAGAATGTTCAATGTTCACTGTTCTTCAATTAGAGGCAGAGGGTAATTTCCCGTATGAGCCTCATCACCACAGACTCAAAGATCTCATTCATGATAGATCTGCATACCACATTGTTCGCAGGACGCTGTCGAGCTTCCTCTTGAACATCTTATCATTGACCTCTTCCACCACGTCAGCTGGAAGGGAGTTCCAAAGATTGGTTACCCTTCGCGATAGCCGGAACCGAAGAGGTAATCCTACGGACGAGAGCTTCAACAGCGTAAGTCCATGTCCACGAGTCCTGGTCTGCTCGC